ATGTCACAGACACTACCAGTGGACGGTGTGGGCGGGGCTCAGTCTAGTGATCTTTATATTTAAGTCTATGGTCTAGACATAGAGGTGGCTGTGGTGCAGCGGTAGGGCAGCTGATTTAGCACTGGAAAGTCACGGGCGGGTTCACTTCCACATCATATGTCGTGGTGTTCTTGCGCAAGACACCTATTGGTCTTCAATAAGGCCTTGAGCTCAAAGATGACGATACATAACCCTTTCACTTCACTCACCAGTAATTTAGCCTTTTCCTGCTCTTCGCGGACCTTCTGTTTCTGCACGATGAGGGCAGGGGTCAGCTCACTCAGGTTAGTGATGGCTGCAGCCTCTCTTTCCCTCTGGGCCAGTTTGTCCAGCTGCTCCTGAACCAGAGCCCGCTGACGCTCAAAGCTAAAGGAAGGAGAGATATAAACGGTTAACCTCTGACACTGTKTTCATCCAGTCAAAGTCAACTCAACATGCAAGTTCTTGTTCACACGCAGAGCTAACCAACGGGGTCAGGGCGGTATTGATTTCGGTACATTAGCAACAAGAGACTGGATTTTGTTGAAGCCTTCGGGGGTCCTTCTACACTGATTATTTCTTTACAACAGTGATGATCAGATGAAAACAAAAACAGTGTGGAAGTTACAAAATAATTTTGTCCACTTGAATAACACAGCTTGATTACTTGTGTATTATTTATTTAGTCAGAGGAAACATTAAAGAGTAAGATCAGAAACATGTTAAGAGAATTGTAGGCTGTAACAGCTGTTTCCCAAAGCTAAAGCAGATGCTCCACTTCTTGGAGCTGAAAATAAAGATGCAACAACAAACATAATACTGTATAAAACCAGACAAAAAAACAAAACAAAACAGTGGCTTTAACTTTACAAACACCTACTTTTTGCGCATTTCTTCCTGGATCTCTGTTGTTGATGGTCCTTCAGGTTTTTGATCTGAAAAATCAGAACAGAAAATATCAAACCTAATAGCTTAAACAAGAGTAACTGTCTTTAAAAATAAAAGTGACAAAAAAAAAGCCACCACTCATGAATTAATCACATATGCAATAATAAATAAATCACGTAACATGTATATTATTTTAAAGATTAGATGTTTCATTATTTTTATGAGATATAATTTAAATGCATTTATCTGTACGCATAAATGTCAAAGTTTGTGCTAAATATTTTACCATTTTTTGTACAAAACAAACTGAAACAGTCACACAGGATAACCCTTGTAATAATTATTTTCACAGCACTTTGCAGACCTGCGAGACAAAAAGTAGCATTGTTGTTAAGTGGAACGTACTTTGTGGAGGTGTCATCGGCTTCGTGCTTTCCGATCCCTGAGATCCCCTCATCCACCGGAGGACATCTCCTGAAATCTGAGTCGAAAAGCGTTAATTTWAAAAAAAGAGTATTTGAAATTAATAGAACATATTGTAGATTTAGGTATGGTAATCTGGATGCTGATTCTCTATGGGATAAATCTTGTGCCAGCAGGAATTGAATTTGAATTGCTCAGATTGAATATGTATGTGCATAATTTGAAATGGAATGCATTGGTTTGAAAATGAATTTTACTAAATTGAAATTAAATTTAAAGTTTTGTATCTGAANATCTGAATTAATTTGCTTTTAAACTGTATTTTGGTTTATTAAAAATTCAGTTTGACTACTTTCACTTTCAGTTCCATAATTCAGTTTCAGTTCCAAAATTCAAGATTGAAAGCCATAGTTATCAAACACAGATCGACAGATTTATGTTTCACTTTGTGAAGCTTCCTTCTATAATGTAACAGAGTTGATGCAATCTACCGTAAAAGTGACAAAAACAAAGTTATTTTATTGCGGTGATTAATTTTAACTATATGTAGAAAATGTTACGTTTACATCACATTATGGATCACATATTGATCAGATGCTGCTGACTGATCCATGATGGAATTTAAATGTAAAATTTTCTATATATAGGTAAAATTGATCACTGCAATAAAATAAGTGTCTGTTTTTCTCACTTTTGCCGTGGATTGCATCAGTTCTGTTACATATAGAAGGGAAATTTCACCGAAGTGAAACATAAATCTGTGGATCTGTGTTTGATTACTCTGGATGACTTTCTCAAGGAGCAGGATGTGTGACAKAAAAATCTGAAGTTTGGAACTGAAAGTGAAAGTAGTAGGGTTGGGCATAATCGTATCGTGTGCAATTAATCGTCAGAAAAACAATAATCGATTAATTTTTGGCACTTGACGATTAATACAATTAATGCCACCAGGCAGACTAACCGCTCGGTGCTTCTCTCCCCTTCAAACATGATGAACATTAAAAAAAAGTTCTGTAATTTATTTATCTATCAACACAATTTAAAGTTTGATGTATGGCCTGAAGTCTGTAATTTTGACACAATTTGGAACAGATTTTTACGAAGAGCAAATTTTCTCCCTATAAATTGGTCATGTGACTAGGATACAAGGGTGTCCAGGGACTCTGGGAGATTAATCTTCAAATTAATCGTTATCGGCTAAATACAACACATTAATCGTGATTAATTGTTTTGCCAATATTGCCCAACCCTAGAAAGTGGTCAAACGGAATTTTTAATAAACCAAAATACAGTTTCAAAGCAAATTAATTCAAAACTTTAAATTCAGTTTCAAATCATTAAATTCAGTTTCAATTTAGTGAAATTTATTTTCATACCAATGTATTCAATTTGAAATTCTGCACATTCAGATTCAATCTGAGCAATTCACATTCAATTCCTGCTGTCACAAGATTTATCCCGTAGTTTCTGCTACAATCTCAGCTCCAACCACTGAATTTGTGAACTATGTTCCATCTCTCACATATGGTCATGCAGTTTGGATCAAGACAGAAGGAACAAGAATCTGGATACAAGAGGCTGATTTGAGTTTCCTTCGCAGGTCAGCCTCAGTTTTAGAGACAGGGTAAAGAGCTCCGTCATCGTGGGAGGAGRGTAGAGTTACTGCTCCTCTGCACCGAAAGGAGTAATCTGAGGTGGTTCGGGCATCTGATCAAGATGCCTTCTGGATGCCTTCCTTTAGGGGTTTTCCTGGCACGTCCCACTGGGTAAGAGACTCCAGGGCAGACCCAGAACTCGCTGYAGGGATTGTGTWTCTTCTCTGTCCTGGGAACACTTTGGGTTCTTCTCCTCTACGACCCGATGAGAAGACTGGTGGAAATGGTACTGACAGCAGTTTTAAAGCTCTGAAATAATTTGTTTTAACATAAACCTCTTGAAAAAAATACTCTAGTGCCCTCGAGCAAGTCCCTGTTTTAAAGGTGACCCTGATATTMTTGTCTACCTAATGAAACAAGACTAATTGTGCTAAATTGTGTTTGATACACTCTCATTTTGTGAACTTTCATTCTGACCTACTCTACAAAGTTAACTGTTTATTATATGTTGCTAACATAACATACAAGCTAAAGAATACACTTGGCTATCATGTAAATATCTTAGCTGTCAAGCTAGAAGTCTGTTTTAAAAAATAGCATGATGTAAATAAAGCTTTGAGTCTGAGATCTAACCCGGGTTTTTTGAGGACATTGCACCTGTCCTGTTTGGCTCACGGGGTGCCTTTACCGAACCTCAATACRTCTAACCTAATTAGTATTGATCACTATATTTTATAACATAATAATAAACTTAAAAAGGTTAATGCAGCATTAGCTACCTTCACTCCTTCAATAACTGTGACCTTGTCGTTTTCGTCCAGTCCAAATGACACGTTCCTCTCTGTGCTCCCATTRCCCCCCATTCTCACCGGCTTCGGGATAAAAACTGAGCAAATACTAAAAACCCACTCGGTTTCTGTGACAGCAGGAAGAGTCGCCAAAATACTCCAATAAAGGTCATTCCTSCGCTGCAGTATCCTCAAAGCTCATTGGTTAAAGCAGATCTTTCGCATCCACTGATTGGTTAAAGCTTGATAGTGGCGCGGTGGTTTATGGGAGTTGAAGTTCCTTCTTTCTCTCTGTGTAAATGAGGAGCTGGTGACAATTGCTTTTTTTTTAAAAAACCTAAACATTGAATGAGCAAGGTCACATGACCCGAGGGTATAAAAATGTAGTTGTAATTACAACAACCAACCAGGGAGTGGCGTCTTATCCATAATTTGAACGTGTTCTGTTTCTTACAAAAGCTACAAATAAATAAATAAGCAAATAAAAATCAGAGCAAATCAGAGTCCACAGTTTATTTTATACTCATGGAATGGTCAAAATTCATTTGAACACRATTTGGAATGAACATTTAACCATGAACGATTTTGCATATGAGGATAATGAAAATCCACAGTGATGCACCTTGTGAAGTCAGAAAACAAAATCTCAGCATTATCCAACACTCAAAAATGCATACAAATCACACAGATACTTTATTTGCTTGAAAACATCTTCTGTACTGTGTTGTGGCCTTTTAATAAAAAAAATTGAATCCAATTTTTTGCATAAAGTCCACTATAACCTAGCAAAACTTCAGGATTTAACAAGCAAGTCATTAACAAACACTGAATTTGGGGAAAAAAAAAAACGAATTAAAGGTCACTGACAGGAAAAAAAAAAGTTAAATTTCCACAAATAGTGATTTTATGAGATAAATAAGTAGTGAAAGTTTAAAGCTCCAAATTATTTTTGACATCTTTTTCCTCTTTGATCCAATCATCACACTTTAAAAATACTCATGTCTGAACATTTCTTTGATCAAATAAAGTCATAATTCCTAAATATATTTAAAAATGTATTAACATTATTTTAAATACTATAAAACAGTAACTATCAGGTCTTATTTCAGCCCTTGTATTCATCAAAAAAAAGAAGCAAACTGCACCAGGGAGTTGTTACTGAGAGAACTGAACTGAAGATGTGCTGCTATAAAAAAAAAAAAAAAAGGAAGCGTGTTTGAACTGGAATGGTTTCTAAATTTACTGAATTACTTCCTTACAGAATCTGAAGTTACCAGAAGGGATTGCACACTTCATCTTAGATAAAAAAGGTTGAAAGAAAGAAACAAAATATAAACAGCAAAACCAGCGTTTTCAATAGTTTAGGAACTGTTAGGCTGTCTCAAACACTTTGAGCTTTTCATACAATATATTTAGGAGATACTGTTATGGTGACACATTTAACACTTTGTCCACGTGTCAACAGACATGGCAGCTACTTCAGATAACAAACCTAAACGGATGATTAACCAACTGTCGTGAATCTATTAAGAGGCAGTTCATAAAAAAATGTTCCTTTATGCTCTAAGTGGGAATGCATCAAAGTTTTAAATCAAAAAGATTCAATTAATCAAACAAATGTCAACATTTAAAACAATGAGCAGCTGATTTTTTTAGTGCTGAAGTTACAGAAAATGCGCTGAGTCAGAGCGGAAAGCATTCACATTTAAGAGTCTGCAGAAACAAAGATCAATGATAACTGTCAGGCTCACAGAGGAGGAAGCGCTCCTCGTGTGAAGTGACGGCAGCAGCACACTATGGCACCACTAATCMCTGTCCTTCTGATCAATGTGAGGAAAGATCTGCTCTCAAGTGTCCATTTGTTAAGTTTTTCTGGCATCAAAAAAGACCAGGATTACACTTCCACTGTGTCCAACCAGCTGCARCTGCCATGTTTCTTTGGTCAACCTCTATGATCCGCCTCTTGATCAACGCAGCACATTTGCACATTTGAAGTGCAGCTGAATTCTTGTTTATCCACTGTCTCAGACATTGATAGGTCTCCAGCGGTCAGCCTCAACGCTGTTGGACCCGTAGGGTCCCGATACGACGTCATCCAAGTAAGCCCCAACCATACGGGAGCTGCTGGGACCAGAGCCATCGATCTGAGTGGAAGAGTAGTAAAGGCCCTGGTCTGTGAGGTCCCTGCGGCCAAGAGCTGCAGCAATCGTTGGAGGAAGGTGGACGTCGCTTTCATCTGGCTCGTCCACCTGAGACTTATAGGAGAACAGGATCTTGGGCTCTGAACTGCAAGAAATAATGACCAAAAAAAGTCACTTAAAGAATGAGTGAAGCAGCTACATGTTTAACTGTTAAACACAAACAAAAGTTTAGGCACAGTCATTTCAATTAAACATATTCCCTACATTATGTAAAAATAATCAACTAGTTGTTTTATTAAGCACTTTTAAYTTACTCCATACACTCTGAAAGGCAACTTACCCAAAGAAGCCTTTGAGGAATGTGACATAAATGAGTGGAGCAAAGGCAGAAAAGTAGAGGAAAGTGGTGACGTCCACACAACTGGATCAGATAAAACAAAGAGTGAACAGTTTTAGGACAAGCTACAGGGCATGAAGAGATCATACAATGAAGCACCAAAGGAAGCTAAGCTAAGCTCAACTCCAATGATTAGGCTTGTCACAATAAGCAATAAATCAATTAATCACAAGATAAATTAAAATGACGTTGATCATTTTCATTTGCCTGCTTGTTTTCTATTCGTTAGCATAGGGAGGAGTGAACTCAGTCATCAGGTATCTGCCAGGGGCATGGTCTCGTAACCTGTTTTTTCCAACCAAGTTAATTTTGTAATCTTCTGGTTTATAACTTCTTATATTAGTTAAAGATTTTAAATTGCAACAGTTTCTGAGACAATACTGTAATTTCATTGTGCTCTGTACAATGACAATAAAGGTCTAATCTAATTTATCCATCCAGTAGAATTTGTTATCATGACAGACCTACTTATAATTCCACCTGAGCATCGTAAAAGTTTTTAATATATGCAAAAACCTAAAACAGGCAAGAAAATCATTTCAAATATTAAACAAAGATGTAAACACACAAATTGCTTTCACGTTAACACTTTTAGTTTTTTCATAGGCTGAAAATGAACATATTTATGTGAACTTAACACACTTTGGAAGGCTCTAAATTTTCTACGCATCTTTAAATCTCAAACTCCGTTTACCGCTGAAATGTGCATAAATACGATAGTTACATCCCAACTTTTGTTCCATCTATAAATACACACAAGCATATTGTTTTAAATGAAAACACGACTGACCAGAGTCCTTCTATGATTCCAGCACACAGCAGAGCACTGCCCAAACCCTGAACCAAGTTGAGTAAAGACAGGATGGCGGAGTACACATAGAAACTCCTTTTAGCTGGAAATGGAAAACAAAACAAATGCTCACAACTGACAGGAAAATCTTTCRTTTACAAGTGATAAAATTCATGGTATTGTAAACTGCAATTTGCCCTTGGGACACTAAGTCATTATAATTACATATGACCTTGTAACAATGCTCAGCACTTGTCTTAGGTTGTATAGTTTTGTGTTTGAGCTTGGGTTTTTCATTTGTGCCTTGAAATGTAAAACTTACAAGGCAGAGATATCCTCTCCCTCACCGGAGTTTTAGGCAGGATAACAATCATAGAGTACACCTATAGAAAAGACAATATCATTAGTCAAAAATGAGTATAGTGGATTTTTTTTTCTCGTGTTGCTGCAGAGCTGCAAAAGTTACTGACCAGGAAAAAYAAAGAGGAGCTGGCCAACCAGAAATGTCGTCCTCCGTGACCATAGATGTTGAAGTCCTCAGCGGACAGGTGACTGTCTGGGTACAGGATCTCCAACGTGCCCTGAGACAATGAATTATGTTTGTATGCAAACAACTTACAAAAACCTCCTGATAAGAAGAGATCATGATTAACAAGGTGTTGTCTGTAATTACCTGTGTGATGGAGTATCCCAGAGCCAACACAGCAGTTATAGCTAACACACGTTTTATGCTGGATTTGCTCTCTAAGTGACCTAAATAAGGAATAAAGAACAGGAGAACTTATTTGTATTTATTTCTACACAACTGCATAATAAAAGGCAGCAGATTGTGCTCTCAAATAGATCATCAGTGCAATGGAGGTTTTTATAAAAACAAMGATGAGGAACTGAAACAAAACCAACAAACTAACCAAAAGCCAGGCCCAAGATGATAACACTGAGCTCGATAGCTAGCAAGAAGAAACGGGTGATTTCCCACAGCACCTACAGAAACAACAAACATCGTGAGAAACCACTGGAGCAAAGGCAATCTATTGAGCTACAACATGTTTCATCTACAACACAGTCAAAAGAACTACAACAACATTGCTTTTCTTTTTCTTCCACTAAAGGCATGGCAGTGTGTTATGAGAACAGTTGGTCCATCACTGGAAACGCCATAAGAATCTGTCTGGTATGTGTGGAATGTAAGCCAGGGCTTTTCTTTAAAAACATGAAGGCTCAAACCCAGGGAGCTGCTCTTATCAGACCCTCTGAGTTTTCAATAAAAGACACAAGGATGTGCCTGCTGCTAATTCGGATTATTAAAATATTTCTATACATTCAAAAAACAAACATCAATCGTAGATCAACTTCACATCAACAGGATATTTGTAAAAAAGGAAAAGGGTCTTTATTCCGTTTCCAGTATGCAAACTTGTTTTAAGACGTTCAATGTTCAAATAATTAACAGCAACAAAATATGACCCTGATGATTTTTCTTGTGCATTACAAATTATGTGGTCYACTTTTGCCAATGAATGATATTTAGTGGTTATTTATTTATTTTTTTTACCAAAAATGATTCACATGTTCAAATATTCCAAATCAAACCCATAAAAAATATTGTAGAATTTGACAGCTATTACGGCTTTAAACATAGGTCTCCCTCAACAACAGCAACAGTAGTAGTAGTAGTAGTAGTAGTAGTAGTAGTAGTAGTAGTAGTAGTAGTAGTAGTAGTAGTATTAGTAGTAGTAGTAG